ATTAAGTCATTTTATGGGGAGGATCACTTAAACCATTAAATTTAGAACTTATGTAAGTAGATAACTGTGTAGTTCTTCTCTTGCCCACCTCAAAGCGATGAAAAACAAGATTAAAACAACAGATATCATCACAAAGGGAAGGGCTTACAGACTGCTGGAGAACATGTAAATACTGATGTAGATGCACTAGCAATTTGCTTCAATTTCCACAAAACCTACCTTTTCTTTGAGGTGTGTAAAATTAACTAGGAGCTCACATGTCAAGCAATTGGACATTCCATGGCAGTAGCAAAAGAACATTTAAAATACCAATTTTAAAAGTTACCAAGCTTTTACAGGTGAAGAGTAACTTTCTGTGAATACTTTCTGTATTTTCTATTAACTTATTTTGTGGTTTAATAGCTAATTCTGCTCCCATCCCTTTTGTCTTATCACAGTCTTACCTTGGTAGTATTACCCTAAAATTCTTTATCAGAGGGATCAGCTAGTCCTTGACCCACTGCAGTTACAAGTGGCAGAGCCAGGGGCAAATCTCTGCCTGAAAAGTTTGAGAGAGCAGCTCTGAACTGCTGGGAAGCAGGTGAACTGGCTCCAGGTGTTGTGAAAGCCTGTGCCCAAGTCATGGGTACTATGCACAGGGGTGGTTTTAGCAAGCAGAAACATCTTACAAACTCATGACAAACACTTATTCCTCTGAACAGCCCATTCCTTAGCGTTGTTCTGGATAATAAAGCGAAGCAAAATGCTTGGTTGAGTTTTACAAAGATGCAGGTATTGTCTTGGTAAGAGTTCTCTGGTAAGGCATATGTCTCCTTGGAAGTTCATTTCAATGCGAAAAAGCATATATATGAAAAAAACCCCTAATCATAAATGCTAGTTTATCTTCATGGAGATAAAATCTTTCAGAAAATAACCTTGACTTGGAAAGGCATCTCAACCCGACTTGCATTTTTTGAACCTGTTGCAGTACCAAACTGCAAAGGATGAGGCAAATATCTAGTACAGTTGCATGTTCAGTGATCTGTTCGTTAAAGTAATTTCTTCTTGTTGCTTAAGAAAAAGTACATCTTTTAAGTCGATGTTAATACTCCAGGGCTTTCAAAACACTTAACAAGTCTGGCATTTGCAGACTGGTAATATGTTTTGCATAATATCAATAGCCTCTCTTTGTGGCCCATGGGAAAAAGAAATCCTTTTCTTCTTTGTGGTGCATTCATACAGTCGCTCTGTCCAAGATGGTTGCAAGTGGAAACACTTTTTGTCTTTTGAAATCTTAATTCCAGCAGCCCCGGTGTTTTCATGAAGCTTGTATATCTAGCCTAAAAGGTTTTACAAAACTTACCTGCATTTTAGTGGGCGAGCCAGTTGTATTTTTTGTAATTTTATGGAGACCGTACTGGAATATATTCAAGCAAATGCAAGAATTGCTGTTTGATCTCTTCAGATGGTTAAATTGTGATTCCTGTTAGTGCTGCTTTGGCTTGGTGCACCCTGTTTCCTAGTCAACTGAGGATGAAGTTGGAAGAGCTGGCAAGGCTATGATATTTACATAATGCCTTTTTTTCCTGTGAACCCTGAATGTGGATGGAAACAGCCTCTAATCTTCTTAGTGATCTAAGCAAAGATTGAATGCTTTGGGTCAAGCTGGGGTTTTGGAAAGGCTCAGTTAGGAAAAAAAAATTTAAAAAATTCCAGCTCTTCACAATTATTGGAAATGGAAATATTTACAGACTGAACTAGTTAACGTTAATGTTTCACTAGTTGATAATATTTTTGTTATTTCACTAGTTTGCAAAGACCAGATAATCTGTTTTGAGCCATACTTTTTGAGACTTCTTGGAAACAGAACAAACAGCCCTTGTGTTAAGCTCTGGGCACTGTTCACATTCATTCCCCTTAGGTTAGTTTTAAGTTGTATCATGAGGGATGAAAAGGCAAGTGTCAGAATAAGCAGCATACAGAGGCTTCCTTTCCTCGATGAACTCAAAATGACTGGAAAAGACTGCAGATCTGATTTTAATCCTTCTTGCACCACAACTGCTATGACATGGTAAGAGGAGGAGTTTATTAGGTGGCTGTCCTTTCACATCTCAGTTAATAAAACATTCTGACTGGGATTTTTATGTGTGTTACAGTAATATAGCTTTTCAAACACTGCTACCATAAAATTAAAGATTTTAAATCTTTTTTAAAGTGGACAAATATCCTGAACTCAGTCTAGAAGTGACATTTCATGCTTGATTTGCCTTGCCTGCCTAGATTTTGTGGTATTTTTTCATGCAGAAGTTATAGCTTGTCAGGCCTTCTGAACAACATGAAACTACAATATATTACAATGAAAGGGGGGAAAATCAGTCTGTCCTATTTACATTTTCCTTTTTCTTCAGGCTTACCTTCCCCAATCAAAAAAATTCATGTAAAGTTGCTTGACTTAATATTACCATGAGGAATTGTATTATGTAATGCATCTTCACATAATATAAGATCACTCAGAGACTGATTTTTCAGAACATGAAAGTTAGTAGGAGCTGCTGGCCCTCTTTTAATACCTACAGCGTAACGTTTGCAAACCAAATGGTCAGCTTTTTATGTGGTTGCTTTTGTAACTAAGTTCAGCAGCAGGCTTTTTTTTTTTTGCTCTACTTTGTGTTCAATAATAGAATCAAGATTATATCCATCCCCTGCTTGAACTTGTCACCACCGCATTTCATTAACTTTCTCAATATTTGATGCAAATTGTTTCTAATTAACATGCTTCTGAATAAAGAAAAAAGCATTCTTAAAAACCTGTGTGCAATCTGTATAATAATAAAATTTATTCTCAGCTATGAAGACTTATACCATTTTATGACCTTTTTTGAAATTGCTTTTGCTATTATTATTATTATTATTGTAAGTGGTGTATTTTAGAATTAACCCCTTTTATCTGTACAATAATTAATAACCAGAAATAGCCTACTGAAAACATAGTAAGGCAGGTAAGGACACAATTCATTATTGAGAAAAAGGAACACAAATTAACCATACTCAGAATTTTTTCTTTTAAATATTCTAATATTTTCATTAAGTTAAGGGAAATATTTATTAGATTCTCTCTTTGTGGTATGTGTTGTTATTGTTGCACACATTGGAGGTGCATCTGTTTTGGTTTTTCTCCCTTTATGCACAAAGGAGTTGATCTGATATGTTAAAAAGGAAAAAAAGAAAAGAAAAACAATTAAAAAAGGGGAGGAGAAAAAAGAAGACGAAAGAAAAAAAAGGAAAGGGTGATTTGGTTTGGTTTGGTTTTTCTGTCTACTATGTTCATGTGATTATCCAGAAAGAAATTTGAAGACTGTAAGAAAATTTTGCCCATCCATTATAAAACAGCATAAAATTTGAAAGGGAGGCAATTTCTTGAACATCTGCCTTGCATTCCCTACATATAAGGAAAGTATACAGCAAGGGAAGAAAATATACACACACATATATAAACTTTCCTTATATATATTCTCTTTTACAACTAATAGAAGAGAGAGAGAGAGAGATGTACATGTAATAATCAGGACAGGACATTGCAGGAGTCCAAATTGTGCTTGTAAAAATTTATCAAAGGAGTTGACCAAATCTGACCACTGAACTCTGCACTGCTATTCTAATGGGAAGACATAAAAGACAGCAAGAGACCTATGACCTCAGAAAGCAACTTGTCAGTGAGATTGAACTGATCTAAGTCTGGCTGTACTCAAACACAATTGTTCAGCCCTTCCTCCCTTTTCCCACCAGTGCATTCTCCTTGCTCCTTTTTGCCTGCACTGCAAGTGTATCTGTGCCATGAAGAATAATTGTCTCCTGCTCCATTTCCTTTACATTGTTAATTTTTGTCCAAATGAGTAATCCTTTCTGAATTAGGGCATGAACTCTGGTGCCTGCATAAGGGCATTGGTGGATGCTTACAGCTAGAGGCCACAGGACCTCACCTTTTAGTGGCAGTATGGATTTAAGTCAAATGGAAAGCAATATGGAAAAACAGCCTGGGCTTTACATGCATCGTGCCCTTTGTAACCACGGCGTTCACTGTAATAACAGGAGAGATTTAGACAAGTATGCCACTTGGCTAATTGAGGGCTCTTCTACTAAAGAGGCTTTTGTCTCAAGCTTTAGTTCTGGAGATTTGAATGTAGCCACCCTCAGGTTTTGGCTTGTTCTTGGTTTTAGCTCTATAACTATACTTACAGCTATATATATAATAAATAGCTACTATAAAACCACAGTAACAAGACAAATTTTAGGACCTTGGTAAAGATTTTCTTTTATTTTAATATATAGACCAGTATGATATATGATATGGGTACTCTAGTTTTGGTTTTGGGTTGTTGGGTTTTTTTGAAGTGTTTAGGGAACAAATTATTTTATTTATTTTATTCCAGCTGAGATTTCCATGTTGAAACTTGCAGGTGATGGATTTGACTTAGGGAAAAAAGATATTACAACTATTAGTATCTGTGCTGAGCTATTCTACAGTAGTAGAAGCTGGATGTTCCTGAAACAGAATGTTGCTAATAACATTCGGGTTCTCTGTCTGAAATGTAATGGCCTGTCTCAGTGAAACTCTTGTCAGAAATGGGAGCTGCATGATTTACTCTAAAAGCAATTCTGGACTGACTGCTTATCAGTAATGGTGAATGATTATTAGTGACTTCAGTAGGCTTTCAGAGTTTTACATGTTTAGCAGGTTTGGGGGTTTTTTTTGGTAATGAAAAGGCAATGTCTTGGTTTTCAGAGTTTTCCAGAATGTGATCAACCAGTCCCCTTACCATCCCTACAGAGCTCTTCTCATAAAATAAATAAGAATGAAGGTTTAGAAAATACATCCCAATTTCTGACTAAACTGAAATGTCTCATGGATGCTTGTGCCCTTGATATTCTGTTGCATTCACTTTCATGTTTTCTCATGCTCTGTAGCATTAATGAAAGCAATGGGGCATTGTTTTGATATTGTTATTTATTTGTCTCCCTAGCTGTGTGCTGCCCACCTGCCAACCCGATCAGAGGCTCCAAACCACTATCAAGCAGTATGTCGGGCTCTGTTTGCTGAAACAATGGAACTGTACACTTTCTTGGCCAAAATTAAAAGTGCAAAAGAGGTAAGCAGTCTGTGAAGATTATCTGCTTTTGAGCTCATCCCTGTGTGAATTCAGCTTATGAAATCACTTCAGTACCCAGCTAGCAAGGAATGTCAGATGCTTGAAGAAATGATCTGTAGTGTTTAGGGAGAGCAGTTCTTCAGCTGAGATTTTCTTTTTCCTTTTGACCTTTAACCATTTACAAATGTCTTATAGAATTTGTTATTGATTGTGACTAGTCTATTTGGGAGTAAAACAGAAGATTTTCTTGGAGATTAACACATTGCATACATGTACCCATTCCTACATGCATGTATGCAATGTATTTGAGTCTAAAAGCTTCTCTGGTGTTTCAGGGATGTTGTGAAGTGCCAGAGCTTTGCTTGTTCTTCCTCAGCTCCTTCTCACGAGGGAATTCTCTTTGCTGAGAATTGTCTGAGATTCTTCTTGCTCGTATTTTGTCCCCAGTCAGCAGCTTCTCTTCTGCTGTGTGATTGGGTTGTTGTCTGTCACATTGGTTTCACTGCAGAGCCAACTTTAAAAATAGAAAAATTTTTGCCTGCAGGTCACAATGCTTATGTTCACTGCCTGTTTGGCTGTTATTGTTGGCTGAAAGGCCATTCTATGAACCACTGCAATTAGATGGTCTGGCTGAAGAGTGACTTTAAAGATGATATTTAATGCAGATAGTTTCAGATCTGGCCTGCAGAATGGCCCTGTGAACAATTGTAGTTACACAGTGCTCGTGCTGGTAACGTTGGAAAGCTGGTGGGTGAGGGGGAGAGCAGGAAGAGAAACATGCTTCTTAAAGCTGATTTCTTCACCAAAGCCAACTTGTCAAGTAACAACGCTTTCATAATTTCCTTTAATAAATCCCTGAAGGATTTTCTTTTCTAAGTCAAGATCCACAGTACCTTTGAAAAGCAGGATAAGATTTTACAGGCTGACCTAAAAATTTTGCTACTGAAAGAGGCAGAGCTGTTCCACCCACGCACACATGCTCCCACTGTTTTCTTTCTTCTGGATCTAGGGAACAAACCCAGCAAATATCAAGCAAAACAAAAAAAAAGGAGGAGTTATTCCTTGTCAGGTTAATGAGCTAGATCAGCTCATCAAAGGGTCAGATGAGCCTAAGAGCAGCACAAGAGAGCTTTTATTCTCACACTGATGGTGGAAGATGCAAACCAGTCAGAGGCATAAGGGACTGGTGCTCCTTCCTTCCTGGGTGAGATGCATCATCCAAGAGGGAGAATCCTTCAGAGATATTTTTTTTGCTTCATGGGGTCAAGTTTCATCTCCAAATCTCCTCCAGTCCTACTCAAATGGAAAGCAGTTTTTAAACTGAAGCAGTGTCATACCGGGAAAATTTCGACAGTGTCAGCATGGCTAAAGAGCCATTTGTTTTCTGAAGTGCCTGTGTTACAGGACTTCTTCATCCAGTGCCCCTGATACAGGGAACAGTCAAGATACAGTGACTTCATGCTAAACCTGAATTTTGTCTCTTGAACCTTGACATCATTAATTTCACATCTCGGCTTCTAACTACCTGTATATTAATTGAGGGACCTGTGCTGGAAGTACCTCATTTAACAGCTATTGCAAGTCAATGTTGAAGCTCAAAGATAAGACCCTTTGGAGTTCCTCTTTCTGCTGAGAGAGGAATTATGTTTCCAGAAGTTCTTGAACATCTTTGCCACAGTGAGCAGTAATAAGGCATCTCTGTTGTCAATGTCCAAGTAAAATATTGTGGGTTATAACCATTTAAAATCAAGTCTTAACAATAATTTTTAAAAAGTATTAAAAAAAAGTAGAAGGACATTTTGAATTTGTGAATTATTTAATCACCTTATAATTGGGCATAAAAACCCAACAACATCTGATCACAGCATAGAGCATACTATGAGTTAATCCCAAATGAAAGAAAACATTTGCTTCTCACAGGCTATTAGGCATTGATTCAAAGCACATTTAGGTCAAAGGAAGTAATCCTTGTAGATGGAATTTTGGCCCTACTGAATCAGTAAGAGTTATATTGCTGCACTTTACCAGGGCCAGAATTTTGACCTTTTGATTTCGTTTTACTCTGGATCAGCCCCTCAGCATGCAAGAAATTAAGAAGAAAATTATCTTGGAAGCAGCTTTTGGAATCTGAATACTTTGGGTTTATGATGTGCTTGATCCTTGGTTGTAGCTTTTATCCAACTATAGATTTGGAAGGTATTTAGTTTTGAAAATAATGTAGTGTCCAAAATTAAAAATCAAGTATAAAGGAAATATGACGTGGAATGCTGTAAATCTTATTACACCATTTTAAAATGGCCTCTGTAGTTTATACTTGAGGCAAGCAGGGATCATATGATCACACTAGGTTTGTACCAGTAAAAGCTGTGGTATTGTTTATGTACTCTTCTGTCTTGCAAATACGTAGCAGAATCTTAAGTCACAAGGAGTACAGTTAAATGCTCTTTGAGTAAAAAAGATCTTTCTTTCTTTTTTTATTGTCATATGAGTATTGGGTATAAAGGAGATAAACGCAGAATACTTCAGTGAGGACACTTTGTTGTCATGACTTTGTGGTGATTACATTGGCAGATAACTGTGGGGAAAAAACAAGTTACATACATCAACTCCAATTAAAGAACCCCAAGCTTATACTGTGTAATATTGTGGTTTTGACACTAAAGATGTCAGGAAGTTTGTACTGTTAGTTTATTTTATAAAGTAACAGCTTTATTTGGAGATCCTGCTTTAGAATCCCTCAGATCTAGACACAGTTGTGGATGTGAGATCGACATGAAATTAAAAACACCAAAAAGGGGGGGAGGTATCCTCTAAAGTTACTTAAAATAGCTTTTCTGTGGATAAAAATTACTTTGAAATTACTTGGATTCCTTCTAGGGCCACTGAATGGCATCTGGGTATCTGTTTCTCAAGAATGTGAGGTTCATGGTTTTTTGCTCAGTAAACACTTAAACAGCCACCTTCGCTGTAGTGGAAGAGGGAGAATTTTTATCTGCAGAAATTCACTTGCTTGGAGAGAACCAAATCTGACCTACCTGATACTACAGGTTTAGAAGGGAAATAAACTGTCCAAGAGGCAGAAAAAAAATACTGCTGTGATGCTGTAGTAAATTTTCCCCTCAAAAAATGTGGCAGTGTTTTGAAAGTTGCAGGATTTCATGAGGGATAGATCAGGAGGTAGGAGGGGTGTGTCTATAGGGTCATAATATGTTTTATTACTAATATATATACTGAGGAGTCGCATACTCCCCAGTATATCATGTGAACATCACCATTATATTGGCTATATTGCAAATGGAGCATAGTTTCAGTAAGAATTTTACTGGCATGCATTTGGGTGAGTGTGTTAATCAGAAATGATGAAGCAATGAGTGACCTGTTCAGGTCATCTCAGTGGATGTCAAATAGAATGTTTAAGGCACTTTGTCACATAATTGATGCCATGTGGTTATTTCCAGTCTGATTCCCTGTGTATGAAAGGTCAGCAGTAAAGCTGACTTGAAGACTTAAAGAGAATGAAACATTTAGTGTAGTGGATGCACAGGACAGCCCAGAGTTGAGAAAGATGTGATACTACTATTGCAAGAGTTTAAAAAACTAAACAATTAAAAATTAGGGTAACTAGTAATAATATTTCTGTGCAATAGCAGCAGCAATTCCATTGGGGTTGAAATTTAGTTAACTAATTTGATCTAACGTCTTTTTGCAAGGTGAAATTTTTCTTGCAAGTTTACTGGGGTGCTTTTTTAGCTTACTGGCAGCATCTGTGTGCTGCTTAGGCTCTGTGAAAGGTCCCCTTATTGCAGACCCACCCTGGGTACCATTCTGATGTCATCTGGAAGTGGTCTTTTGATGGGCCAAGACCACCTAAGTCTGTGTCCTGTTGTTTAAGCATTTACAGATGATGAGTAAAAGATGGAGTACAACTTGTTTTTCATCTCAAGAAGTGAGCTTTCAAAACTGTAGTAGGAAAATTCTGCAGAAAGGGAATTTTCCCCCTTTTTATTTTTTTTTTTAAATTGTTTTGGGGAAAAATGGTCCACAAGGTAGAGGAAAGGCACATATGTGTGGCAAGGGGCAAGACAGTAACTGCTAAAAATGGACCCGTGTAAAAGAAAAGATTCATCTTTTTCAGGATCATCCAGAAGTCATTGAGATAACCTTTGTTGGCACCTAGCCATGGAAAGAACTGTAGGTGCAAATAAATTATGTCCATGAGATAAAGCAAATGTTCCTGCTGTGAAGTATCTGAAAAGGTCACACAGGTTGCTCAGAAATGGCATCAGTTGTGATTGAGAGAGGCAGGGAGAGACTATGCAAGCAAAGGAATGCAGAAATTACCTCTCTGGATCATACAGGGGACTCACCTGTGGTGCTGTCCACATTAAGAACCTGCTTTGTTGATATGTTGATGGGATATCTGCCCTAGTCCTCCTTCAGCTCCCCGTTACTACCTGGTTTTGCCTTTTAGTGGAGTTAATGTTCCATGTGGACTTAATGGCTGAGTGAGCCAGCAATGTGCCCTTGCTGCAAAGGAGCCTTAAGGTGTCCCAGGCTGCATTAGGAGGAGCGTTGCCTGCAGGCCAAAGGAGGTGATCCTCCCCTTCTACTCAGCACTGGCAAGGCTGCAGCTGCAGAGCTGCGTCCAGTTCTGGGCTCCCCACTGCAAGGGGACATACTGGAGAGAGTCCACGGAAGGGCTAGGAAGATGATGAAGGATTCAAACAGCTCTCCTGTAGGGAAAGGCTGAGAGACCCAGAACTGTTCAGTCTGGAAATGAGAAGGCTCAGGGGGATCTCATCGTTGTCTACAAATACCTGAAGGGAGGATGCAAAGAGGACTGTGTCAGGCTCTTTTCAGTGGTGCCCAGTGACAAGACCAGAGGCAGTGGGCACACAGTGAGACACAGGAGGTTCCTTCTGAACATCGGGAAATACTTTTTTTGCTGTGAGGGTGGCACAGCTGTGCTGAGCACTGGCACAGGTTGTCCAGGGAGATTG